TTAGCATTAACTATAGGCTTTAAAATGGATTCATTAAAGCTAAAAGTTGCAGACTTTAGTCCTACCAACACTACTAAAAACACCTGATTTTGCAGGAGAAAACTAAAATCATCAATCCGATCACCTAAGATAGATTAAGAACCATTAGAATCGCAAAGAATTTTCCCTTTTGACTCTTTCTGACTCTTGTAGAAGAAGTCAATTTCACTGTTACTACTCTATCTGGTTCAATTATTGTGAACTTATTCTCAATTAACCATTTCTCCAGCCTAAATTCAGCAAAACTGCCCTTGCTTTATACCAAAAATCAAACGAATGAATACAAACCACACCCCCCCCCCTCCCCAAAAAAATAATAATAATAATAATTCAATCTTTTTTCTGTTGAGGGAGTTTGGAGGGAAAACCTATAGATAACGTGTGCCTGGTGGTGAATTTCGCCGTCGGTAATGAACATCGATTTCTCCATTCCTTCTCCGAGAGAAATTGAACCGGTAACTGTGGAGTGATGCGCGACGGCAGAGAAGCTCAAAAGAAGAAGCAGTCTCCGTGTTTCCACAGACTGGAGAGGAGGTAGAAAAAGGAAAAAGAAATGGTTAAATACCTAATTTTGTCCCTCAACTTTAAGTTTAGGACCAATTTCGTCCCTAAATTTTAAATATTACCATAAAAATCCTTAAACTTTCTTTTTCCTCGCCAACTTGGTCCTTTCGTTGACGGAAGTGCCTAGTTGACACGCTAACTTGCCATGAAATTACATTTTCTCAATCTTAAAAATCACAGCCAATTGTCTTTATATGTTAATGCTATCTCCAACCATATATTTTTTATTTTAAGAATTGTAGATTCATACTAAATTTAATTATTCAAAAAATTGAAACAAAAAATTCAACAAATTTATGATAAACCAGAAGAAATCTTGGTTTTGCAACTCCAAACCTCAATCTATCAAAACCCCAAACCTAATCTGGGTTTTAACCCAGATCACAACCAAAAAAGAAAACAAAAAAAAAAAAAAGAAGAAAAGAGAAATAAGGAAGGAGGACCCGATTACCTAGGCAGTTGGGTTCTTGAAACCCAACATCAAATTCTTCTAAAGAACCCAAGAAGCTACATAAAATTGTAGAACTGAACCCAATTTATTGAACTAATTTGACCTTCAGAATCACAGCTAAACTGAGCCAAAATAGCACTACATATAAAATTGCATCAGTACAACTAAAATTTTTAAAGGGTGAACCATGAAATTTTTTGGAAGCATTTTGAGCATGGAAACAACAGGTATTCTAAGTTATAACAAAGATACACAGCCCTTCAACTCATGAGAAAAATTTAATGACTAATTAACATCCCCGTATTAGCAAAGAGTATTCCTTGATTCCTCATCTAATTTAAAACCAAAAATTTCAATTGATTTTGCACTAAAAAGACATCAGAACTAGACTGAATGCTCAACAGATGAATTATAGTCTTAGGCTGAGTGCTCAATAGATGAATTATAGTATTTTCTTTTAATTTTTCATAACCTCAAGAATCACCTCGATTAGACATGTAGATAGAAAGTTATGGTCAATATACTAAAGAAAAATAAAAATAAAAAAAAATTTGTGCATTTGATTATGAGTTATATAAGAGAGGATGACCTTTCCTTATTTCCAAATCCTTATTCACTGGACTCAAAGCTCGAATTTAAGATGTTTAACTTGGAGTCTCAGGCTTTTAACCATTGAGTCACCTCATTGAGGTTAAGGAAAGATCAAGGATTGAGTTCTTTTAAAGACTCTAAATCTGTGTTCTTGGAACCCAAGATTATATTCTTCTAGAGGACCTAGATTTGGGTTCTAGAACCTAGCTAGAAGAAAAAAAAATGGAAGGATGAGGTGAGGAGAAAAGAGAGAAAATGCAAAGAGAGGGGCCAAAGGTGAGTGATGATCAAAGAGGAAAGGGGAGAGGAGAGGTACGGGAAATGAGGAAGGAGTTGAGGGATAAATGTGAATTTTCATTTTATAATTCCTTTTTTATGTTTAATATTTGAGTGAGTTTTTAATTTTATATATCTTTAATATCTACATAAGCAAAAAATAACTACATCATCAAATTATAAAATTCTCGTTTTCCACATGATTATTTGACATTAAAATTGATATTTTCTGGCAAGTAAACGTGCCATATGAGCACTTCAATGGACGGAAGGAGCAAGATGGTAACGGGAAAATAAAGTTTAGGGATTCTTATGGTAATTTTGAAGTTTAAGGACAAATTTGCTCTGAACTAAAAGTTGAGGGACCAAATTGGGTATTTAAACAAAGGAAATCTCTGCGAAGGTGGTGCCGTTTCTGACCGTGTGAAAACGTGGTATTCACGTTCAGGATTGCTTTTCAGTTTATTGAAAAATAAATATGTTTTTGAGTTAGCTTTTATATAATATTTACAAAATTACAAAAAAAAATAATTATTTTTCATTCCTTAACATATTTTAAATATTGTATCACTTGCATTCTCTGGCCCAGTAGTGCCACTATAGCATAAAGGGTTACTGATGGAATGCACCCTAATCAATAATGAAACTTTGCTAAAAAAATAAGATTTTAACTCTTAACTCTTAATTATTATCCTTGTAAAAAAAAATATATATATATATATTGTATCACTTAAAATTTCTTTCTTTGATAAGAAAAAGTTTACTACAAATAGATAAATCTAAACTACTTACCTCATTGAACTCTATCAAGTGGGCTAATGGTCACGTATCTTATTGAGGTTGGTAGGCTGTTCACCAAATCTGAGAATCGAATCTTCAATTACTAACATCTGACGATAGTAACTTACTAACCATTACCCTTATAAAAAAACAAAAAAACTACTTACCTCATTAGTAATAATAAAAAAAATTATTAGATAATAATTACCATTGGAGCTAATGTAAATAGGACAGTTTGTAACTGATTGGTAATGATTGGTTTCATTACTTTGACATGAACACAAAAGAGTTGCTTACGATTTCAAAGAAAAATGGAAAACAAATTAAGGATGAGAAAGCAGCTATCTAGTCGTCTTCTTCTTCATCTGTGACAAATTTCCCAGTGCCAGGGTTCAAAGCTGCAATGAAGAAGAAGACAACGTTGAACAGCACCAGGGGTTCGATGTCACTGATGGGGATTCCAGTCTCGATGTTCAGTTGTGCCAGAGCTCCTTTCCCTGTTACGATTTCTCCTATCAGGGAGAAGGCAATCCCCAACTGAGCCAGTCTCCCCACGAATAGCTCGTTTGCCTTTGTGAATCCAAAAAGAGGGCCTCCTTCTTTCAGACCCAGGGCTGACCTGAAGCTTTTCCCTGGAGGGATAACCGCCCCTTCAATCCCCGCCGGAGGGTCATCCACGAAACGACCACGATCACCCAAAGCTCCGATTGCTCCCAGGAGGGTGAAAAGAATGAAGAACAGGAGAAGAGGTTCGGCTTCATTGATTGGAATTCCTGTCTCCAAATTCAGTTGCGCCAGAATCCCTTTCCCTGTTATGGCTTCACCCAGTATTGATGCCTACATTCGAAACAAGAAAATCAATCTTCTTTAGTTGGTGAAATGGAGAGTTGGGAGGATGTTTTTAGTTTTCATTTACTCACAGCAAACCCAATCATGGCAACACGACCAACGAAGAGCTCATTTTGTTTAGTGAAACCAATCCCTCCTGATGTCCCAAAAATACCATCTTCAACCTTTGGCTTCTCAACCTTTGAACCAAAACAAGAAATTTC